AGAGGGAGGGGCGGGGTTCTTTCCAGAGCTACGTCCTCGGAAACCCGAAGACCCTGCTCTGGAAAATGGGGGCGCTGAGTGGTAATGGTTGTCCTCACACAAAAGGCACTTATGGCCCTGGCCGGCGTGGCTCGGTGGTTAGAGCACTGACCTGCTCACTGAAGGGTCACGGGTTCGATTCCCCGTCAAGGCTGCAGGTTCAGTCCCAGGCCCAGTTGGGGTACATGCAGGAGGCAACCAATCGGCGTCTCACATCAATGTTTCTCTCTCCCCCTCACCCCTCCCTTTCACTCCCCGAAAATCAATGGGAAAGTTATCCTTGGGGGAGATTTAACCAACAATAACAATACAAGAGTCTTCTGTGGTGCGAAGCACTGACCAAGTTAAAACGAAGTGGGAGCTACCCCGTAGGTGCGTCTTACCACGCAAACTCCACCCCAGCTGCACGTGTCTCTGTCGACTGAAACTCCTGTGTGGGGCCTGGGTTTCGGTCGCTCTTCAAGAGCTTCCCTCCGGAGTTGCCCCTGGTCCCGTCACCATGGCTTTCATTGTCCTCGGCGTCCCAGCGGTTTCCGCTACCTGCCGTCTGAACAACAAAGCTTCCCCGGCGTGATGACACTATGTCCGCGATGCTCGTGTGTGTCCCAGTGCCCGGGAGTAGCTCGGTGCCTGGAGTAGCCATGGGTAGTCCCCCCCTCTCGCTCTTGGGCACTGGATTCTAGACACATCTGACGGGCTCTGCAGAGTCCTGTGCCTTCCTCTAGCTACAGAGGAGGCTGGGAAGGCGAGCAGCTGGTGACTTTGCTTCTGGAGTGAGGGTGGGGCTGTGCCCCTTCAGGTGGGGGCTCCTCAGATGGAAGGGGCTTTCGCGGCTGGGGGCAGACAAGGTCAACACAGATTAAGAATGCAGGTGCCACCTGACCGGTGCAGCTCAGTGGTTGGGCATCGACCCAGGAACCAAGAGGTCACTGTTTTAATTCCCAGTCAGGGCACATGCCCAGGTTGCAGGCTCGATCCCCAGTAGGGGGCATGCAGGAGGCAGGTGATCAATGATGTCTCTCATTGATGTTTCTCTTCCTTTCCCTTCCTCTAAAAAAACCCCCAAATTTTAAAAGAGCGAATGCAGATGCCACTCAGCAAAACTGACTCCCTCGCACATCCCTGTCCCTTTGGATCAGCTCCCAGCTTAGGAATGTGCAGGCCTGGGCAGCGTGGTGGCAGTGCCCTGACCCCGTCTAGGGCCACGCGACTCCAGAAGTACAAATCCAGAAGCTCCGTGCGGAGCTTTTCCAAAGTGAAAGCAGGTCCTAACCACGTGTAAAAGGTCTCACGTGGCAGAGCTGCCTGCACTGTCCTCAGAAAATGCTCTCGCCTTGCTGCACACACCTGGCTGGCTAACAACGCCAATGCATGGCACAGTATTTCTGCCAACATAGGTATTTTTCCCCAACCGATGGGAGCTGCCTCTTCTGCGCCCTCTTGTGGCGCACTAAGGAGTTGCAGCACCAGTAGAGACCAAAGGCTGAATTCCTGGTGGGAGCTGGTTCTTCTGCGCCATCTCGTGGCGCACTGAGGAGTTGCAGCACCAGTAGAGACCAAAGGCTGAATTCCTGGTGGGAGATGGCTCTTCTGCGCCATCTCGTGGCGCACTGAGGAGTTGCAGCACCATGTAGGGACCAAAGGCTGAATTCCTGGTGGGAGATGGCTCTTCTGCGCCATCTCGTNATAACAATACAAGAGTCTTCTGTGGTGCGAAGCACTGACCAAGTTAAAACGAAGTGGGAGCTACCCCGTAGGTGCGTCTTACCACGCAAACTCCACCCCAGCTGCACGTGTCTCTGTCGACTGAAACTCCTGTGTGGGGCCCGGGTTTCGGTCGCTCTTCAAGAGCTTCCCTCCGGAGTTGCCCCTGGTCCCGTCACCATGGCTTTCATTGTCCTCGGCGTCCCAGCGGTTTCCGCTACCTGCCGTCTGAACAACAAAGCTTCCCCGGCGTGATGACACTATGTCCGCGATGCTCGTGTGTGTCCCAGTGCCCGGGAGTAGCTCGGTGCCTGGAGTAGCCATGGGTAGTCCCCCCCTCTCGCTCTTGGGCACTGGATTCTAGACACATCTGACGGGCTCTGCAGAGTCCTGTGCCTTCCTCTAGCTACAGAGGAGGCTGGGAAGGCGAGCAGCTGGTGACTTTGCTTCTGGAGTGAGGGTGGGGCTGTGCCCCTTCAGGTGGGGGCTCCTCAGATGGAAGGGGCTTTCGCGGCTGGGGGCAGACAAGGTCAACACAGATTAAGAATGCAGGTGCCACCTGACCGGTGCAGCTCAGTGGTTGGGCATCGACCCAGGAACCAAGAGGTCACTGTTTTAATTCCCAGTCAGGGCACATGCCCAGGTTGCAGGCTCGATCCCCAGTAGGGGGCATGCAGGAGGCAGGTGATCAATGATGTCTCTCATTGATGTTTCTCTTCCTTTCCCTTCCTCTAAAAAAACCCCCAAATTTTAAAAGAGCGAATGCAGATGCCACTCAGCAAAACTGACTCCCTCGCACATCCCTGTCCCTTTGGATCAGCTCCCAGCTTAGGAATGTGCAGGCCTGGGCAGCGTGGTGGCAGTGCCCTGACCCCGTCTAGGGCCACGCGACTCCAGAAGTACAAATCCAGAAGCTCCGTGCGGAGCTTTTCCAAAGTGAAAGCAGGTCCTAACCACGTGTAAAAGGTCTCACGTGGCAGAGCTGCCTGCACTGTCCTCAGAAAATGCTCTCGCCTTGCTGCACACACCTGGCTGGCTAACAACGCCAATGCATGGCACAGTATTTCTGCCAACATAGGTATTTTTCCCCAACCGATGGGAGCTGCCTCTTCTGCGCCCTCTTGTGGCGCACTAAGGAGTTGCAGCACCAGTAGAGACCAAAGGCTGAATTCCTGGTGGGAGCTGCCTCTTCTGCGCCATCTCGTGGCGCACTGAGGAGTTGCAGCACCAGTAGAGACCAAAGGCTGAATTCCTGGTGGGAGCTGCCTCTTCTGCGCCCTCTTGTGGCGCACTGAGGAGTTGCAGTACCAGGTAGAGACCAAAGGCTGAATTCCTGGTGGGAGTTGCCTCTTCTGCGCCCTCTTGTGGCGCACTAAGGAGTTGCAGCACCAGGTAGAGACCAAAGGCTGAATTCCTGGTGGGAGTTGCCTCTTCTGCGCCCTCCTGTGGCGCACTGAGGAGTTGCAGCACCACGTAGAGACCAAAGGCTGAATTCCTGGCGGGAGCTGCCTCTTCTGCGCCCTCTTGTGGTGCATGAAGGACATGCCGGGCCCTGGAAACCAAAGGCTGCATTCCTGATGGGAGCTGTCTGTTCCATGCCCTCTTGTGCACAAGGAATGTGCAGGGCTGTGGGGACCAAAGGCTGAATTCCTGATGAGAATTGTCTCTTCTGTGCCCTCTTGTAATGCACCAAGAACATGCAGCACAGCCAGTCCATGTGCCCTGCTCACCAGCTGCTTCTCCACGTTGCCGCCCTTTTGGCATCATCAGTAACTTTACCCAAGAGCATTTGCTGGGAGTGATTTTCAGACAGAATCTAAGCGAGACTGGGAGCTTGGTTACAACAACTTTATTAACTTTCCCAGGGATTTGGACCTGGCATTACATTACAGCGTCTACAGAAGCTGCTGAGCATTTGGTCTACAGCAGCAATTTTCAACCTTTTTCATCTCGTGGCACTAAACTAATTACTAAAGTTCTACAGCACACCAAAGAATATATTTTTTGCAGATCTGACAAATAAAAACAGGTATAATTTCAATTCATGCACACTGAGTGGCTATTGTGCTGGCTGTCATTTTTTTATTTGACAGTCTAAGGGAAGAGAGGTCAGTGCCCCTGACTAAATAGTCAGGTGTTGCATGTGTTAAAAATTCTTGTGGCGCCCTGGTTGAAAATCACTGTTCTAGAAAGAAGTCTTCCATTCCCAAGTGCACGTTCATGGGTCATCTCTCTTTTCACAAAGAGAGTGAGATTGGGGGACGCTATACTCCCTGACAGAGCGGAGATGGGAAGGCGAGAACACAATTCTGAATAATGAGCGATGCGGAGTGGGAGGGTATTGGGTTGGGACCCTGCCACGTCCCTCTCACAGGTCTCCCTGGACTTTTGGAACAGATTCAACATCGTTCCTTTGGCGGGACCCACTTGCAATGTGGATTTCGATTGTGCTGGCATCGGAACCTGCAGAGGGGAAGAGAAAAGATCATGATGGTGTCGATGTCCTGGAAGGTGTTTCACAGCTTCAGCAATATCGCATTGAGGAAGGAGATCGCAGTGCACTGTGTCGCTGCCTGGCCTGCGTTCGACTCCAGGAGGCGCCCAAAGAGAGGGAGGACACCCTCTGTCAAGCTGGGACACCTCTGAGTGGTCTTTCCATGGATGATGCTGCTACATGGTTTTGGGGGGTGGGTAGTGGGTTATCAGTAGAATAAAAGCAAACGTTCCTCCTCCTAAGAGTGACTTGGGGGGCTGTGTGATCACTCCAAGAACCCGCCTGCCTTCAGAACCTGCGCAGGTCCTTTGGAGCAGGTGTCAGAATTGCTCCTTCATTCTGCAAATACCCCGCTGGGTGCCGGGTTCTAGGCTGCTTGTAGGGGATGCACAGATGGAAGCCACAAAGAACGGGGACCTAATATTTCAAGATAAAATGTTCTGCTCCTCCCCAGGGGGCACCACGCTAACAGCAATTGCCTCGGTGGGTGCCTCATCCTCGAGGGAGGATTTCAGGAGGTAGATGGTCGGTAAACACACGATCTCTGTCTTCCAGCTTCAGCGACAACTACTGTTTCCCCTCCAGATGCCGAGTGCAACCACACCAGACCCTTCTCCGGGAGGCAGTCAAATTTGTCACCGTATTTTTGGGCCCTGAGAGTAAACCAAGCTGGTCACCTGAGCACGAACCGCCCTTCAATGCATTTAGCTCAGACAACATGGGAAAAGGAAATTTGGGGTTTGGAGCTTTGGAAAGCCTAATTATTGAGACACTGGTCCTGACCTCGGGTCACTGTGCTCCCCTGGGGACGTCGGTCGCTGTCTGGAGACAGTTTTGGTCGTCACAGTTGGGAGTGGTGCTCTTGGCATCTGCTGGGTGGCGGCCAGGGGTGCTGCTCACACCCCCCAGTGCACAGGACACCCTGCCCCAGAGAATCGCCGAGCTCTGAGCGCAAGAACCGCTCGAAGGCAGAGACGGGATGGGTATGGGGCTGAACAGAGAACTCGGGTCCATCTACCCAGTGCCAGCTGATGAAGGAAAAGCTGCCTCAACCCCTTGGACACGCCGTTCATCACCCTAACTCTCAGCCTCCCAAAACCTCTTTTCCCTGGGCTCCCCTAGAACTACAGCTGCCACAGACGCCCTCTCTCGGGGCTCACTCTGCCTGTCCCTCCCAAATCGGCAGTCCGTTAAAACTTCACGGGCGTCAGGGCGGTGACTCTCAAAACGTGTGTCATCAGAAGACGTTTTTGCCGAGACGAAACCTTACAGGGACCCCTAACAAACAGAAGAGAGGAGCCCACTGGCCAGAGTTTGTTTAGTAAGTTACAACGTGGGTTGTAGGAAAAAACAAATGTGATCATAACTAGTAGGGCTGCTTCAGCCGGCATGAAACACTGTACCCCAAAGCTGGAGGTGTCGGAGATGTCTCCAGCAACCCAGACATCCAGCTGCTTGTGTTTTTATTTCCTTGCAGCGTGTGAGGGGAATTTGGTTGTGAACGGCCAAGGAGCTGAAATGTAAGGGTCCTGGGGAGCTCGCGGTGCCATCGGGATGGTCACCGAGACGACGCGGGGGGGCCAGCGCCACTCTGAGCTCCAGGCCTGAGCTACCCTGGTCGGACAGGTCAAGGGTTGGTGGATCCGGGGATAGTATTTGGATCCCAACACACTTCCCACAGGTTTTCATCTGACGTTTGGATGGGATTTGAGTCATTTCCTAGATGCCCGAGGGCGCATTAGGGACTCCGCAGGGCACAATTTGAGGATCACAGGGCCGGGCGTTCGGTGAAAACGAATTTCAGGAGCCCACGCCGGCTCACCGGCTTCTCTTTGATGCCCCCAGGTGAGGGGATAAACCAAACCAGCTGTGACCCACACGGGGCGGGTCCTGCTGTCCACCGCGTCCCAGCAGATGTTCCCGAGGGGTCCCCGTGACAACGGATCTATTCAAAATGCCATCCAGCCCAGGGGGCCCATTTAGAATTAATACAAGGCTCAGTGACCAAGCAGAAGGCACCATTAAAATCTGCAAGGAGAGGCGGATGGTGAAACGCAAGGTGAGTGTCAGCGAGGGACACGGCCGCCCCGTGACCTGCGTGACGGATGTCAGGGATAGCACCTCCACCCCAGTCACCGGGTTTGCTAAAGCGCTCCCGGGGGAGCCCAGGGCCCCGCGGCTCGCCTGCCTCGGCAGCCTTACCCCCAGACAGCATGCTCAGGGCCTCGTCCGAGGTGTGCCCGCCGGCCCGCGCCGCCTTCCTGGGGGCCGGGCTGCCACGGGGCGCGCAGGCGGCTGAGCTGGTCACGGGCTCCCACTGGAGCTCCTTCCTGGGCGGCTGGAAGTCCAGGCGGCACCCGGTCCAGCCGTAGAAGGCCAGGGACAGGAGGAACCCCTGGGCGGGGTTCAGGACGCCCTGCGGGGGGGAGACCTCGGGTGAGCGCGGGAAGCAGGCTCCGAGCCCGGGTGCTCGCGGCGACGTGCCCGCAGCATGCCCACTGGCTGCCTCGCGTGAGCGGCAGGTCCGTGGGACGTAACACAGGTCCCTGTGCCTCCGCACTAACAGCTCATGAACGTATTTTTTATTATAAATGCAATGTGATGGAAACACTGGGAGGGGATCACTGCATGTATTCCTAGCCAATAGTTTTTTTATGCACGTTATGTACCTGTATTCAGTATAATTTTTAAAATTTATAATCTTTTTTTAAATTGATTTTCGAGAGAGGAAGGGAGAGGGAGAGATAGATGGAAATAGCAGTTGGTTTGCCTCCTTTTGGGGACCGAGCCTGCAACCGGGGCACGTGCCCTGACGGGGAATCGAACCGTCGCCTCCAGGTTCATGGGTCGACGCTCAGCCACTGAGCCACACAGGCCGGGCGAGTATAATTTTTATTTCCTGCATTTTTCACGTAATACTGAAGACTTCCTAATTGTTATTGTTAACGCCTGTATAATATTCCATCGAGATGAAAGGCCATAATTAACGATTACTTTTTGTAAAATTCGGGGCTCTAATGCTTTATAATTACGGACAATTTCATAAGGGAGACCATCAGCCCTACGGCTTTTCCACAGCCTGAGACAGTTCCCTGGGATCCGAGTCTGCCCGAGAGACTTGATGTCCTGCACCAAATCGATTTACCGGAGCTGTACCCATTTAATAACGTCCCCAACAATGAGTGACACCTGGGCGTGCCTGTGGTGTCGGGAGACGTGCTCGACTCATGTTTATGAGTGGGGTTTTGTTCCTTCTGGTTTCTTTTTCAAGGAGAAATATTTTTTAATATTGACCCCTAGAGGAGGGAGAGGGAGAGAGCAACGTCGAGGAGAGGGACACGGACCGGCCGCCTCCCGCAGGCCCCTGCTGGGGATGGAGCCCGCGGCCCGGGCCTGAGCCCTGACCCGAAGAGCAGCAGCAACCTTCGGGTGCCTGGGACCGAAGTCCGCCGGCCAGGCCCGATCTGATTTTTTTTCTGAGAAGAAAACTTAAGACGGGGAATCGACTTGCCATGATGAACCACGTGGCCCTGGCCGCGCTGCGGGCGCGTTTCAGAGCGCCCGTGCTGATGTCCGGCTGCACCTCCAGGTAGAACAGGAGGCCTTCGTTGACGACGTTGGGCAGCCAGCTGGGGGGAGAACGGCCCGCGGGCGCGGGGGCCGGCCCGCAGGGGTGCTGTTAGATGCCGGGGCCCGGGGAAGGGCCGTCCAACCGCTAAGGGTCCCGCAGGGGTGGCCGCAGGGACGGCCCAGCACGTCGGGACTTGACGGGAGAGCTGTGGCTGCTTCTCAGCCTCAGGCAGACAGACAGACAGACCCCCCACCCCCTGACCCGGGACTCGGCCTCCCCTTGAAGAGCAGCCTGGCGTCGGGAGGGAGGCCAGGGCGAGCCTCATCCTGACACGGGATGTTCGCATCGTTGGCTGCTGCGGTTGGGGGCCAGTGGGACGGACAGGGCAGGCGCCGGGCGTGAGAGAGAGAGAGGGCGCCCCTCGCGGGACAGTGTCCGAACCTCCTGGTGTCAGGTCCCTGACCCGCCCGTCCCGAGAAGCACCCCGTGGCGGCAGCTGAGGGCCCTCTGAGCCGTCTGTTGCGCGCAGGTGGCAGGTCTGTTCCGAAGNAGAAAACTTAAGACGGGGAATCGACTTGCCATGATGAACCACGTGGCCCTGGCCGCGCTGCGGGCGCGTTTCAGAGCGCCCGTGCTGATGTCCGGCTGCACCTCCAGGTAGAACAGGAGGCCTTCGTTGACGACGTTGGGCAGCCAGCTGGGGGGAGAACGGCCCGCGGGCGCGGGGGCCGGCCCGCAGGGGTGCTGTTAGATGCCGGGGCCCGGGGAAGGGCCGTCCAACCGCTAAGGGTCCCGCAGGGGTGGCCGCAGGGACGGCCCAGCACGTCGGGACTTGACGGGAGAGCTGTGGCTGCTTCTCAGCCTCAGGCAGACAGACAGACAGACCCCCCACCCCCTGACCCGGGACTCGGCCTCCCCTTGAAGAGCAGCCTGGCGTCGGGAGGGAGGCCAGGGCGAGCCTCATCCTGACACGGGATGTTCGCATCGTTGGCTGCTGCGGTTGGGGGCCAGTGGGACGGACAGGGCAGGCGCCGGGCGTGAGAGAGAGAGAGGGCGCCCCTCGCGGGACAGTGTCCGAACCTCCTGGTGTCAGGTCCCTGACCCGCCCGTCCCGAGAAGCACCCCGTGGCGGCAGCTGAGGGCCCTCTGAGCCGTCTGTTCCGCGCGGGTGGCAGGTCTGTTCCGAAGGCACCCACGTGGGGGGCGAACCTGCGGGGGAGCTGCTGCTACCCAAGGGCCCGAGCTCTGAGTCGCCACACCAAGGACGTGGCCTTGCCCTTGGGCCGCCCGGGATCCCGGTGCCAGGACTGATGCCAGCGGGCGGAGTGAAAAGGCGGCCCGGGGCTGTTCCCGTGGTAACCCTGGCAAGGGGCACGCGTGGCTGGGACCGTGGGAGCCGCCCCCGGGGCGGCTGTGCCAAGGGTTTCGCGTGTCATTCGGTAGGCCTGGCTCTTCCCGGAGGTTCGGGGGCTGCGGACCTGCCTCGCGGTCCCGCGTGCGTTCCCTCCAGGGTTCCTAGCGCGGACTCCAAGGTTTCCTCGCCAAAGGCTTTGCCCTTCGCAACTCGCAGGCCCCGTGTGGACAAGCAAGGGAGCAGGTTGGTTGCACCTCCCTTCCCGGGACGGGGAAAGTGAGCAGGAGGAAGGCTCGTTACCAGACCACGAACACCAGCATGATTTTGAAAAAGCGGGTCTTGATCAGGGCTCCCATCCGTCTCTCCTTCTCCGTGTAGACGCCTTGCCTCCCTTTCAGTAACGAGGCCACTGCGAAGACGAGAGGGGTGGGCACGCGGTGTTGGCGACATGCCCGCCGA